GAATGGCGATACTCACTGACGATGCCGGCGAAACGTTTGGGAATGTACCACGTCCACGATTCAACTTTGGTACTATTAGTTGGAAGACTTGGAGGAACGCCCCTGGTCCGGAGTCTATTGTATGCATCATCATTTCCCGATTGGGACCGTGGACGTGGCACATTCCCAGACGTTTCGCCGGCATGGGAATGTACCACGTCTACGGTCCTAATCGGGAAATGATGATGCATACAATGGACTCCGGACTAGGTGCGTTCCTCCAAGTCTTCCAGCCAATAGGACCAAGTTGCGAAAACAAGGTCAAACAAACTCCATCCAACGAAAGGAGACTGCGACCACACAAAAGGCCACAACATCTTGGTCTTCATCTCTTCGATTATTACGGCTACTTCAACCGCTGCCCATTCCGGCTTCAAAGTCGGATTGGTTAAGGGTAACTAAGCACAGCTGAGGCATTCCCCGATTAGTTTGACTTCCCCAGAGGAATTCTAGCCAAGGACGGTCAGTCTGGACATTTGATTGGCAAACAGAGCAAGTCCACTGGCGGCTGGGGAGTGCATACGTCAGAGGATTGGCCCTCCCAGAGGCATCAGCATTGCCATTGACATTGATATTGGCATTGGCATTGGCATTGGCATTGGTAATCAAGAAATCAGACCCGAGCCACGCGAGCTCTGAGGCAAGGCTCAAATGCACACCGACCCTCACAGGCACTTGAAGGATGTGTCAGTCGACGTGTCTTTCCGTGTGTATCGGGCCGGCTGGGAAGGGGTCCGTGAATCGGGCCGACTGGCTGATTGGCTGACCGGCTGACCGGCTGACCGGCTGGCCACCCGCGCCGTCCGGTCGCGGCTGCCCCAAGCGGCCGGAGGGGCTGAGGAGCAGACCGAGGCAGGGATCACAAGCACCCCACGGAGACAGGCCGGACGGACACGAGCCGACCGGCCCGGACAGCCTGGTCGTAGCCGTGTTGCTGCAGCAACCGTAGCCGTTTGACCGCCGAAAGCCGGCTTTAAGCCCACACAAATTGCCCTCGTTTCGGCCATGTCGCTCTGACTCACCGCCTCGGCAGCATGAAAGACTTTGACCGAAAGTGAAGTGCCAAAGGCAATAAACAGAGCCTATTCAACCCCTTCACCCTTGGCCTCGGGGACCTTAAAGAGAACCCGTCCGGCCAACATGTACACCTGCCCCGGCCGGACCGACTCCGAGGACACATGCGTCTGTCTGTCTGTCTGTCTGTCTGTCGACCGGAGTGACGTCTCACGAAAGCGCGCTTCTATTGGCTGCCAGTTGATCGATCCTGCCGGAACAGAGCAATGGCAGACCGAAGGTCTACAAGATCTACACTTCTCATCTCTCCGGTCGTTCTCGGAGCTTGTTTCTGCATAGACGGCGAACCGGGCACAAGCGACAGTCCCCCGCTTGCGCAGGCCACGCAATTGAGGCAACACAATTAATCCGTCCCTATTACCACATCTGCTCTTCTGCTCATCTGCCTGTTCCAGCACTCCCTTGGCGTCGACAGGAGCCTCTGCCCCGCTTGAATGACAGGCTCTGGAAGGCTCGATCGACTGGCGGCAACAACGAGTAGCCATTGGCGAACTCTGCCGACGAGCAAGAGTTGTGCGCATGTGTGTGTGTGTGTGTGTGCGTGCGTGAGTCTCGTGAGGCGCCTATTGGCGTAGGGGCGACAACTACGAGTCCCGTCACTCGGACCGAGTCTCCTCTCGTAACCAAGCCCGTCTCGTATTCGTCTCTTTTGCCTTGATTGATTGATTGTACAACCTCGGCAAAGAGACGGCCTGCATAAAACCATGAGGGGCTCGTGAAACGAACAAGACACCTCAAAATAGGCCCAAACCAAGGTTACGAATGTGAATAGGAAGTGATAGAAACTGGGTTAAATGGTCACAACCAAGGAAAATAAATGGGAAGTTCGTGTTAACAAATGGTAAAGTTTGGCGGACTGATTAATTCTCGATGAGGGTGAAAGTGAAGTGTGCTCAATCAAGAGCACTCAAGGCCTTGACAAAACAGTGCAACTGCAACCGATTAGTTGAATTAGACATGAACGCGAGCCGGCTTGGGTTGCCTAATAGAAGTGGGTTGACCTCGTTGTTGCAACTTGGTCTTGCTGTCAGGGCGACTATGTAGAAGGCACCTAGTCCAAAGTCGTCTGCCGTGTTAGTTGTCATGAGTCCCAGCATCTGACAGTGGACTTGGTACATTCTCAAACGTTTCGCCGGCATCATCAGTCAGTTTTGCCATTCGCCGCACCAAGCTACGAACGCGTCAGAGACAAGTTCATTGTCTGATGCTGGGAATCATGACAACTAGAATGGCAGACGACTTCGGACTATGTGCGTTCTACTAATTCACCCTGACAACAAGACCAAGTTGCGACAACGAGGTCAACCCACTTCTTTTAATCGAAAGGAGACTGCGACCATAACAGAGGCCACAACATCTAGGTCTTCATATATTGGGTTGCTTAAGTTGACGCAAGAAGTGATCATTGAATTTCCTACAAGAAAATGAAGCTAAAAAAATTTCGCACAGCCTCGCCACACAAAGGGGTGTGTAGTTTCGAGCTAGCTTCGTCGCCTCAGCACTCCAACCGGATTCGGGCCAGGGTCGTAAGTATCCGATGAAACGTCAGTCGGCGACACGACAACGACAGCCAGTCTGTCAGGCAGCAGAAGTGGCTTTTAAGGCAAGCCGGACATTTACCAATTTTCGAAGAGGCAACATTCCAGAGATTAAGAGAATCTGGGCTTCTTGAGCTGCTTTCCGTTTCTAGTGAAAGTGTGTGGTGAAAAGATTCGAAAGTCGATCCCGCCAGAATACGACGGCAGATTAACCCGGTCAACTGTCAGTCGACTGTGCTGGCACCACCCCTGAGGCCGTCTCCTTCTCTTCCGGTGGAAACTTCATATGAGAGATATCATGTTAATGATGCCGTTTTAAATAAATCTCGTGCTTAGAACAGTTCAACCACCAGTCGTTATTCACCTTACACGAAATAGGGTGAATACATCTCAAAACCGCTTTACTGGTAGTCTCGAAAACTTACTTGTAAACGAAAAATAAGTAATGTAGTCGATTGCTAAAGCAAATATAACTTTGAAGATGGCCTTTTGTGTGGTCGCAATCTCCTGTTTGACCTCGTCTTCACAACTTGGTCATATTGGTAGGAAGACCTAGATGAACGCACCTAGTCCTGAATCCATTGTATGCATTATCATTCCCAAAGTCGGACCGTGGACGTGGTTACTGTGTGGTGCTAAGAAGGCTGAGGCGCCCTGACGATGCCGACTACGATGTTGGCAAAACGTCTGGGAATGTACCACGTCCACGGTCCTACTTAGGAAATGATCATGCATGAAATGGACTCCGGACTAGGTGTCTTCCTCTAAGACTTCCTACCAATATGACCAAGTTGCGAAAATAAGGTCAAACAATCTCAAATATATTGAAGTGGGTTGACCTCGTTGTCGCAACTATGTAGAACGCACCGAGTCCGAAGTCGTCTGCCATAGTAGTTGTCT